GAAAACCAAAATCCTCACAACTGGACCAATGAGCAGCATCACAATCAATGGAGAGAAGATTGAGGTTGTCAAGGAATTCACATTGCTTGGTTCTACAATCGATGCCAACGGAAGCAGCAGTCAGGACATTAGACGACGTGTAGCATTGGGAAAGTCAACTGCGAAGGAACTGTTTCAAGTGCTGAGGAGCAAGGATATCTCCTTGAGGACTAAGGTGCGCCTGACACAAGCCATGATATTTCCAATCACCTTGTATGCATGTGAGAGCTGGACAATGAATAGGGAAGACCGAAGAAGAGTTGATGCTTTTGAGTTGTGGTGCTGGCGAAGAATGCTGAAAGTACCGTGGACTGCTAAAAGAACTAACAGATCTGTCCTGGAGGAAGTGCAGCCAGAATGCTCCTTGGAAGCAAGAATGGCCAGACTTCATCTCACCTATTTTGGTCATGTTGTAAGAAGCGACCATACCCTGGAGAAGGATGTCATGCTTGGTAGGGTGGAGGGTCGACGAAAGAGGGGGAGGCCTTCAACGAGATGGATTGATACGGTGGCTGCGATGATGGGCTCGAGTATAGCAGGGATTGTGGGGCTGGTGCGGGATCGGGCAGTGTTTCGTTCTGCTGTGCATGGGGTCACTATGAGTCGGAAACGACTCGACGGCACTTAACAACAACAACTCTAAACTACAAGGCAAAAGGACAAATCTGACCTTCCCTTAAAGGGCAGACAAGTGTAGACTAAAGGCAGAGTCCCAGCTTCATCACCTGGAGGCGGTGACTCAAGTTTGCATCCCTGAGAGCAATCCATGCTTCTCATGGTAAGTCTGGCCGTGTTTGTTTCCAGAGGAGGTGTTTACCCCTGGATCCTCAGAGGTGGGGTATAGGGCTCTAGGGCAGGATCAGACACAATGCCTGTCAGAAGGTTGTGGAGGACAGAACATCCATTTCCACGTGTAGTTTTCTTCCTTCAGTTCCCTCTGTTAGGTAAATTTGGGTCACTGGATAGTCAGAAATGCCCATAACCTTTTGAGAAGAAGCACTAAGGCCCCAGGCTTTCTCCAGGGGAGAGTCTCTCCCTGCTCTACAAGGACTGAATAAAATTGTTACCATGTTATCACCTATTTCAAGGGGCCCCAGCTCTCCCCTCCCAGGAGGCCATCATTCTATCAGACTGTGTTTGTGAAAAGCCAGTGTTGAGTTGACAGAGAATATCCATGATGGCGGCGGTGGTGACTGCTGGTGGGGGAAGCTTTCAAAGACTATTTGAAACCAGAAACTCATCTCAACTGCCCACAAGTTACTCACAGACAGACCTGGTGGAGTCTATGACCACAGTCCAACCTAGGTCCTTTTTACAAATGAGGAAACTAAGGCCCAGGAACTAAGGGGCTTGCCCAGTGTCCCAGCGTGGTCCTTTCTAATAGATCCCTGCTCGTTCCCAGCCTCACTAGAGAAAGCACATCAGCCTTCACTGATAAGTAGGAGCCTGTTGAAATAGCTCAATCACACCATCATCTGATGGCCAAGGCTGGCTTGGGGATTGGGATGAGAATAAACAGGGAGTGACAGTTCTCAGGGAGTGACAGTTCTCAGGGAGTGACGGTTCTACCACCACCTGGGAGAAACAAGGCACAAAGCTGTAGAGTTGGGCCAGAGGACCCAAGGTCTGCCACCAAACCTGCCCCATTAGCCCTCCTTGCCCCTGGGTGTGGGGCTTATGTGGACACAACTTCTGGGTTGCCTCAAATACACAAATGCACTAGGCCTTTGTTGTACAGGAAGAGAACAATGGATTAGGAGTCAGGAACCCTGGGTTCTAGTCTCTGCCCAGACCTTGGTCTCCTTATTTGTGGCTATGTTCCTGCTTGACTCTCATTTTCTCAGGAAGGCCCACCCTGCCACCCCTTCCAAAATTGCCACCCCACCCCTTCCCTCCAGATTCCTGACAATGGCTCTATTTTTTCCCACAAGAACATTGTCTTCTAAAATACCGTTTTATCATATTTATCTCATTCATCATATTTCTTGTTGATTATCTATTCCTATTAGAATTCAAGGAATTTCAGGGTAGTGCAAATGGTCAATGCACTCAGCTGCTAACCAAAAGGTTGGTGGGTTTGTATCCACCCAGAAGTGCCTCTGAAGAAAGGCCTGGCAATCTACTGAAAAATCAGCCATTGAAAACCCTACAGAGCACAGTTCTACTCTGACACACATAGGTCACCATGAGTCAGAGTCGACTTGATGGTAACTGGTGGTTTTATTTTTTAACTGGAATATAAATCCCATCAGGGCAGGGATTTAACTTATATTCATTGAGGCATACCCCAAGAGCCTAGAACATTCAATAAATACTTGTTGAATAAATGAATGTTCATTCATTGGTTCAATGGGTGACAATTAAAGCTGCTTGAAGAGCCCAGTGGAGAAGTGCCCGTGGGTCTTAGTAGAGTGTGCTGCATGATGGTACAGGGCAATATGCTCACTGGCAAGTGTCTTTGCCAAGCCCCAGCAGGCTCCACACTCCCTGGGCAGCCTGCCTCCTGCCTTTGCCCATGCCTGGGATTTATAGAGAAATTAACATTTTCTGGAAACCAAGCTGGGGAAGTTAGGAAGTATGCTAGCTTTTCTCACCCCATCTCTGATCTCAACTCTGACAGGGAAGGGACCAAGCCAGGCCTTCCTGAGAGTGGGCAGGGAACAAGAGCAGAGGGCCAGGGAGCCTTCACTGCTCCACCCAAAGGGCCTAGCTAGCTGGAGAGGGATGGGGCCAGACAGGAGCAAGGTGCAGGCCCAGGTGACCAGCCCCGGAACACAAGCTACAGCCTAACATGTGCCCAGGTGTCCCCACCTCTTTCATCAAGTATCTCTTCACAACCATCAAGTGTTCCAAGGAACTTTTCCCATAGCAGGAAGTATCCCCTGGGGTAAGCCTTCTCACCCTAGCTGGGCAAACACATAACCCTGAAACTTTGGTGACAGTGATTGTAAAAATGCCTGTCTCTAGTCCAAGAGTTCACTAAAACATGAGCCAGGAACCACTCTTTTCATCTCACTGATGAGAGAATAGAGGCTCAGAAAGGTCAGGAGACTTAAGGTTAAACAGCTGGCCAATGGTTGAGCTGGAATGAGAGATACTTGGTATCTCAACCATGGCTATTTTCAGTGATCTTTT